AAAAATGTCGAACTATCGAAAAACGTCTAAGAGGTTTTTATTCGTATTTATATCAGGTACTGCAAATTGGTCAAGTTAATACATACCTGCATAGCCATTTTAACATTCATTTTTTGATAGTTGCTTGGATTTATATGGTCATTTTTGTGGGTATAACAAACCTTAATGCTATACTTCTCATTTTGTTCTACAACAGCCCTCCAATGATCGAGACGCACTGTACCTTCAGGTAACTAGTTAAATTAGGAGGTATAAGAAGATTTAGAATAATTGTTATTGAAATATGTATGTATATATCAAATTATTAATTTAATGTGTTTTTTCCATTCACAGCGCCTGCACCAAGAAATGCTCCAATCGGTTGTACCCAGTCGCCACGGAATGGTTGATACATCAGTACAAGTGCATGATCACCTCTTTTTTCAAATCTTTGTTTGAAGTATGGGCACCAAGGTCAACAAAACCATGAAACTGTAAACTATCCCGTTGAAATTTTACAGCTGATTATAATTGCATTTCATCCAGAAGTAAACAACCTAAATATTAAATTTATTTTTTACATTTTTTTCTATACCTATATGAAAATATTTGAAAATATATATATAAATATCTTTCAATTACCATGTCTTTCTGCCAAACTAAAGTCTTGAGCTTTCTCTTTCATGACTTGAAATGTGTTTTCTTGGAATCCATAAGCAGTGTGCAATTTTTTGATATACCTTCCAAGTTTATTTTCTTTTCTCATTTTTCTGTATAATTTTGGTCCCTTGATACGCATTAACAAGCATTCATATACCCATTCTAGACTATATCTTCTTCCTTTAGAGCTTTTACATTTTGCTGCATTAAAAATTGTTTTAACCATTTCTTGTTGCTCTATTGGCAGATCCAGTATGCAATCATTCAACATATCCTTAGAAACAAGGCTGCACTCTTTTTGCATTGTCCATAATTTCTGCTTCAATTTAACCAACTATATATTTGAAACAGATATAAAGTTAATACATTATAAAATACCGACAGTTGATAATAGTCTTTAACATTTTAATTATAATAGACATAATTATGAATTTGTATAAAACTGGATTGTTCATTATAAATAGTTTTAAAATTAGAATATCAATATTGTAAATGTAATTTAGCAAAATTACCTAGTATATAAGTGAAGTCATTATTTTACTTACATATTTGATATTATGTATATGTATAATTAATAAAATAGGAAATATTTTTTTAAATCTATTCTAAAAAATAGTTAACTTACATTATTCTTAATTCTAGTTTTTTGTTGATGTTTAGTTTTTAACTTTCTTGTTAGTCGTTGAAGTTTTTTAGCTGGTGTTAAATTTGTGGATTTTACTTTTTGCAGTTTTCTTCTTTCTGATGCACAGTTAGAACATCTTACAATTCTCGAAGAAGTTTATGAAGGATCAAAGAAACGAACACACAATTTTGATTGGCGACAGTTATGAACTCCTTTACATATTTTAAAGCTATCTACATTTTGAAGTAATAGTTGCAAATCGGTTTCACTTTTTATTTCATTAACTTCAATTTGTTTATCAATAATGACTACACTTGGTAAACATGAATCAGTAAAAACCACAGTTTTATCAGTTTTTAGTTGATCATTTAAGTGAACAAATGCTATTTTTTCTAATGGAATCAAATGCAGTCCCCACATATTCCCTGAAAGTATTATATTTTTTACAATTTTGTGAAGATAGCTATTGAAAAAGATTCCTTCAATTCAAAAATTCTGAAAATATAAGAAACCCCAAAATATAATTAAATAACATTTTATATTATTGATATAATTAATAAATTTATGTAGTAGTATCATTAAGTACAAGTAGTGTCTTACTCATTCGGTGAATTTTGTTCTTGTACTATTTTAATTTCATCTAGGTCACTTGTTGATGCATTACAAACCCTTTTTTTTATTTCTTGGCGGTTTTTTGGTGCCGGTCTTTTTGTCCCTACATTTGAAAATCGTTCTGGTAAGCCTAAAAATATTGTTGGAATAGCATTTTCTCTCAATGCCGGACGTATTCGTTCAATGTATTTAATTGACCCATCAGGCATTTTACACTCATATTTTAAAAAATCATCTTCTTTAAAATGTAAACCGCAAACTACATCTTTTATGGATAAGTTCCTATCTTTCCGCTGTATTTTATTATTCCATACAGATAGTAAGTTCTGCAAGATAAATAATTTTAAAACTTTCATGTTTATACCAGAATACCTGTATTAGTTGTTATGTAGCTTTTTATATATTTGTTTTGTTTTTGTTATTATTATTATTTTTTTTTTGTCTTTCTAGTTATATTTTTATTTATCCCTTTGTTATTAGTTTAATATGTGTCAATTATTATGTAATGTTTTTTTTTCTTGTTAAAGAGCGTATGTCCGTTGATTATTAATAAATAAATATTTTAGACTAAATATTCAAACATTGTATTTGTTATTCTTATTAAAAATATAAAGTCTCTAAGAGATAACTTAGAATGTAAGAACCCTAGAGAACATTTTGATTTAAATGACATAATGCAAACATTAAATTTGTATTAAAAATCAGACTGTTCTTTATTATTGGTTTTTTGTATAGTTAATTGTATATTTAATTATTTTAGTATTAAGTTATATACCTACTTATATGTATTGTATAGTTTTCTTTTGCCTTAAAAAAAATGTTATATAAAGATCAGAAGAATAATAAAAAAATTTGTGGATGCAGGCTTCCTCTCGGTGGTCAACGTGTTAAGTTTCGTTAGAGGTATGTTACAGTACATAATTATGTACATAAAATATTATTATAATTTAAAACAAAACAATAACTATCTATATTACTTGTGGTGGATGGAACATGGATGGTACATTTTTCCCTGCTGATTTTAATATTTTAGTATTACTTAAGTAACCAGACTTATTTTTAAGGGCATATTTATTAGCACAATATGAAAAATGTTTGAAAATAATAATAAGTTTTACTAGTTTTAGGTAGGTGTGGATGGTTATATTTCTACTATAGGTAGTGTGGTACTGTGTTACTATAGAATAATAAAATATAAATAAACAATGTTCATCAATATGTTAATAATATGCTTATTATTCAAAAAAATATACTGAAATACACCATATTGCTTATAAAATATTTCCGAAACCAGCCTTCTTAGCGCTTCCTGGTGACAATTGTGTAACTAAACTGCTGTAAAAACGGTACTCACTTATTTCTCATACGTACAATATTGATAGTGACTAGTGACTACACCGTTTTACCTACATCGAGCTCAGTACCTATGTCCTATAATACGGTCTATTGATAAATCGTATGTTCATTTACAGAAATCTTTGTGATCTGCAATGTACTTATTCTAGTTTTCGATTTCTGTTATAGTACGCATGCCAAATTTAAATACACAGATTGCAGGTCCGCAAGTTTATGGACATTCTAGTAGGGTAAAGTCGCCAATATTGGACCGGTGCCTAAATTGGACCACCTCAATTAATCAGCTGTTAAACATAACTAATGATTGTAACATTTATTAATTTGTTTAAAACCGTTTTAAAACGTCTTTGGAGTTATCACATATTGTTATCAATCATCGTTATCAGTATTATATCACTTAATCCAAAAACAGTCATTTTCATGCTATTTTTTTTAAATAATCAATAAGGTTTTACTGTAAAATAGGTAAGTAAACTATACTTTATTTATTAACGGTGTTATAGACAAATTTGTAAAGAAACAAATCGTTTAAAATAATTTACACTTATATTAATATTGAAATTTATTCATCAATTTTTCTAAAAAAAAACAAAGTTGCTTATATTGAACCACCAATAGTTTCCAAAAATGGACCACTAAAATAGTTCATATATTTTTACAGACATGGCTAAACGTGGAAAGTATGGACAGTGGTCAGAAGAAGACCTACAACATGCTGTAAGGGCATATAAAAACAAAATTTATGGGCTCAATCAGTGCCAAAGACTATATGTATTGACTGATAACTTATAAATTGTATTATTTTATTATTCTATGTATGTTGTTTATTTTAAAATTTAACCAAGAAGGTATAAAAATGTTGTTTATTTTATAAAAAACTAGTCAGTAAGGTATTGACTGATAACTTTTAAATACAATTATTTTATTATTCTAAAAATGTGTTTTATTTTAAAATTTATCCAAGAGGTCCAATTAAAGATATAGGCGGTCCAAATTAAGCAACCGGTTGCCTAAGATGGACCACTTGGTAAATTTTTTAAAAATAAAAAAATATTACCATTAAAACCTTTAAAAAAAAAACTAACTATACCAAACTGTTGTTTACATGTTTAGCTACAACCTTAGTGCAGTTAAATACTTATTATTTTAAATTATTATCTGTAATACTCCTAAATGTTCAAAGTGGTCCAACCTAGGCAACTCTCCCCTACATTCTCCCGACAGTGCCCCTAGACACGGTGTTTGAGAAGTTATATTTTTTTGGTACCTAATTAAAATACAATATGAATTATTATAAGTTACCTATGTATCTACTTGTAAAAAAATTGACTACCGGGATTTAAATAACAAAATGTGATTTAGGTAACCTATTGGCTATTGATCTATTATAAAATAGAAACATAACCTACCAATAATATCACTATATAAAATAATTAAAAGTGATAATTTGAAGACGATTTCTTAAAACCCTAAAATATTTTTTTTAATTTAGTGTCTAATCCATAAAGTTTAGCGCCCACGCAAATTTTTAAATTTTTTTTTTTCGGAAACCTATGATTTGCAACCTGTTATAACATTAATGATGTAAAAATTATTAACTTATAGCATATAAGTTTTAGAACTAATATTTACTTTTGAAATTATATATTCTAATAAATTGCGTACGCCAACATTTTTAGAAAAATTAAATAGTAGGTATGTATAGCAGGGGCGGGTTCAGAGTTAGGAAACTGTGGGTCAGGAAATTTCAAGGGGCCACTTATTAAAACCAAATTAAAAATCTATACTTGTGTACTAGGTATATAAAACAAAAAAAAGGTGCTCCGCTGTACAGTAGGTTACAAGTGGGTCACTGTATAACGGATAGTATTAAATTTGAATTCAATGATATAATATCATTGTATAAGAAAAACGATTATTTTCAAAATTGTACATTGTATAGGAAATGCTAATATGAACATTCAGTGAAATTTTAATTTATCTACAGTTATTTGTTTTTGAATTACAACAAAATAAGGAAATCGCTACATGAGAAATCGAGTGAATATCCAATGTTGTAAAAATTTGAATTTCAAACGCTCATAAAAATTTAATTTAACTTTCCGGTAGAGATTTTTTATTGATAAAGGTAGACAAACTTATGAGTAATCTTGTATTACATTTTCAAATCTTAGATTTAAAAAGAAAAACTTTTACAAATTCTTAACTTAAAATAATTTTCTATATTTCGTGATTTTTCCATATTTTGTCAATTTTTGAACTTTAAATGCTTATAAAAAAAAATTGTGACTAACTATCATCTGCCTTTAAACAATATACTAGGAGCCTTATAATACATTTTCAAGCTTTCTAAGCTAACAAATAAAATTTTATTGATATTTTTAGAATAAAACTAAAAAAAAAATGGAAAATGAAAATGTCCCTAAACAGTTCAAAATAAATCAAAATATTTTGAAAATGTTATCGTGTATAGAAAATGCAAATATAAACAACCAGTGAAAATTTCATGTATTTACGTTCATTTGTTTTAGAGTTACACCAAAAACCAAAATCGATTTTTAGGAAAACAGATTTTGAGTAAAAATTTCCGTTATTCCTTAATTTTTATGTGTTTAATCCCGGCGCTTGTGAAAACTATTGTGAATTTTAAAATTTTACCTCCCGAATGCACCAACTAGATTCACTTTCCAATCGAACAAGATACTGAAGTT